AAAAAAAAAAAAACTCAAGCTCGATGAGATCAATGCTCGACCTGGCTCGGCTCGAATCGTTTGTAGCTCTAGTTGAGAACCACACAACTACAAAACCCTCTCTTTTATTTTTTGTTTTTTTTTTTTTTTGTTTTCAAGAATTAAGAACTGGAAGTGAAAATTGATTATATAACAAAATCCAGAATATAACAAAAGCCCACATAATTTTATTCTGCATGTCATCGTCTCATATTCAAGTTCACTTGCAGTGCATTATCAATAGTTGTCCATCCATGCCAAGTTCATCGATAGGAGCTGATAAAAGTAAAATAGATGATATCCCAAAAACAAATATTGCTGAAGAGTTGATAGCAAATGCTACAAAAACTGCAATTCTCAATCACAAAAGTAAAACTACGAAAACAATCAGCACGAATACATATATCCTCTGCTCTCTTGCTTAGCTTGTTTCGTTATTACTGGATTGATAAGGCCATCGGTCAAGGCACAAGACGAAGTAAGAGATGCTTTCAGTATGCTTTTAGCCTGCACCAAACACAAAATATACGAATTCTCAGTATGAATCAGGACAAAGAACGAAAGAATGTATAATATATTCAATGTCAAATGTTTCTCTTTCCGAAGAACATAAACACTAACCTCTTCCAAGCCAACACGCAGCTTCAGTTCCTTTACATCGGATAATGGGATTTTCAGGCTACTGAGAACAAAGAGGCCAGAGGCAGTAGTCGAGGGCTTAACGGTTAAATCATCGGTTACCATATACATAGCTGGTCCTTTAACATAACTTGCTTGCCAGTTTGAGAAACTAAAACTAGACGACCAAATACCACTAGAGCAAGATGCTTGGCCTTCCGGAAACTTATAACAGGACACAAGTGTACCCTTAGACGAGCCCACATAGCACAAAGGTGACAGAAATCCTTTTCCTACAGTAGGATAAAAGTACAAGAAAGGGAAATCTTTACTGGATGGTAAGAAAAAGTGTCTTTTTGAATAGTAGCAGAATGGTAACTTATACTGGAGTAGATTGTGATTCACTGTCCATCCATACTTGCCACTCATAATAATCCCGACGCTTTTGTACAAATTGTCTATATTTTTAAGGGAAGTGTCACTGACAAATAAGCACTCGACCCCACCTAGGGGGAGAGCTAGCAGGCTAAATAGAAGTTCCACAAAATCATCACCAGCCTCAACAAACAGTAGCTTATTAGTGGACTCTTGCAGAATGGCTTTCACAGTTATGTCCTTGACGTTACAAGTTCCTATCTGATTAACTGGTCGGGTAGCACCTATCTCACACTTAGCCGCAATATAGTCATTCGGCTTCTTTCCGAGAATGATTTCCGTAAGGGGCTCCCGGGAAAGTAATGACCCCTTCAGCAAATCCATTATCTAAAATAATATTATACGCGTAAATTGTTGATGAGGACTACAAATATGATATTGTAGAAAAAAGACAAAAGAGACAAAGAGGCTAGTATCTTACCTCATTAAATCTGAAAGTCAGATTCCTTTCCTCGATCCCGACTGTATCGATTAGTCCAAATTTGCGGAGAATTTGCACAGCAGAACCAGTCCCACTAGGCAATACTTGAAGATCATCACTGATAATTAAGGAGACTTTACTTGTAATAAACACCCCTCTTTTACTATCCTCCTCCTCTCTCATGTAAATTGCTTCGTCCAACGGTTTCCCGCAATTGCACTTCAATCCACTGAAATACATGCTCACATCTGGGAAGTTGCTGTAGCTACAATTTATATCTCCACATTTGAAGTACTTTGTGGGCTGCGCGTCATCAACGCTGATTTTCAGTCTACGGCATTCAGTCTCAGACAAGCTTACAGGGTTGAGCAGCAGGTTCTTACAGTCCTGTGTCAAGAAAAGGCCACTGTCCAAATCGTGTAACCCATTGTACAAAGTGGTGAAGCTTCCCAAGACAGGGACTTCAGTCCCATAGTGTTTTTTCAGCACTCGAATAATTGTTCCCAACGGCAATGCCAGGAAGCTCAGCAGAACATCAGCAAAATGGTTATCGGCCTCGACATATAGAACCTTAGTTTTTTGCTTGTTAATCATGGCTTTCAAGGTGAACCTGAAGCTCTTGGGGTCAGACATTATGTAGGTAGGTTTTGTGTGCAGTTGAACAAGGAAAAAGAAGGAAATATCGATTACTAGCAATGTCAAGATTGTAAAGTTGGCCTCTCATTTTTATAAGCAAGAGTTATATAAACCAAGGGTCACTCTCACTAATTTACATCACACCAGGAGTCTCTGTTGTCCCACCAAATTCTAGAACTCCTTCAAGATTCAGATTCACACCAAATTCTGCTTTAAAATAGATACAAATATAGCCATTTGATTGGGATTTTTTATTGGGATTTTGGTACCACGACTTTTCTAATATCACCTTAGATGTGAAATTACATAACATCGGTTTTGCTATGAAGCAACAGTCTATACAATAAGTAAACCTACCATATTCTATGATTTTTTTTAATAACATTAATATAATTTTATTAATATGGTAAGTTTATTTGTTGTATATAGAAAATTGGCCCCAATATGAAGCCAACTGTTGGCTCCATATGAAGCCAATTGTTGACTTCATAGCAAAACCGAAAATAACACAAGCAGTATGCTTCTCAGAAAATCTATAACATAAATCCACAAACGAGACAATGAAATTGTACCTCAAAAGTTCTATATTTGGTCAATAGATTTTGGGACTTGCATGTCCATTCTTATCCCTACTACTTGAAATGATTAGTTAGATTCTAGAAAGAATTAGCATCCAAGAAATATACAGTTTCATTCTTATTTGCAACAAAAAAAAAAAAAGAACAAAAGAAATCTGAGCAACTACGTATTATGAAAATGTATGATTATCATATTATGGTCAAATGAAAAGAACAATTCAAAGCCCACATAATGTAAGAAGATTATTACAGCCCTATAATCAGCACCCCACCACAATTACAAAAAGTGAAGACTAGTCATGAAAACAATCGACACGACCCGCAAGCGGTGATATCCTCCGCTGTCTTGCGTAGGTTCTTTCTTTAATATTAGAGTTGATAGAGGCCATCAGTTAAGGCACAAGCCGAAGTCAAAGATGCTTTCTGTATGTTCTTAGCCTGCACCAAACACAAAATGAATTTATCAGTATAAATCAGGATAGTGAGCATAAGAGCTCATTAAATGCTGAATGTTGTTTCTCTATCGAAACATGAAAACTGACCACTTCCACTTCAACAACCAGCTACAGTTCTCGGACTTCAGATAAGGGAATATTCAGGCTACTGAGAACAGAAAAAGCAGAGGATGAAGACAAGGGCGTAATGGTCAAATTGTCAGTCACCATGAACATTGTCAGGCTTTCTACGTAATTTTGCCACCATGGAAAATTAGACATCCATGGCTCGGGCTGGAGTAGATGATTGCTCTTCAAGTACTTTCATCTCTCAATTAGGCAATAGGCTTTCTACACTTTTGTACAAATTATCTATATTTTGAAGAGAAGTGTCACTGCCCAATAGGCACTCGACCACTCGTACAGGGAAATCCAACAGGCTAAATAGGAAATCCACAAATTCATAATTGGCTTCAGCAAGAAGTAGCTTATTAGTGGATCTCTGCGAAATGGCTTTCACGGTCATTTTCTCAATGTTACAGATTTGCTTTGGCTGGACCGAATAAGACTGTTGGATACCATCCGTCTCACACTTAAGCGCAGTATAGTCGATCAAGTTTTTCTCTATTCTCTAGAATGAGTTCCATTAGAGGAGCCCGGGAAAGTAATGACCCCTTCAGCAAATCCATTATCTATAAAAACACAGTATCTATGAAAAACAATATGCATGCTTAAATATTAAAATACACATAAATATGGTAAACTATAGAAATAGACGGATGCTAGTCACTCACCTCATTGAATCCCAAAGTCAGATTCCTTACCTCGATACCGATCATGTCCGTTATGCCTGAGTTTTGCACAGCAGAATCCATATAATTAGGCAGTATTTGGAGATCATCAGTGATTATTAAGGACACTGGTCTAATAAACACCCCTCTAATGCAATCAACGGCGTCTCTACATTTGAAGTAATATGAGGGATTCATGTCATCAACGCTGATTTTCTCACGATATGCCGATTGAGATGAGTTCTTTAAGTAGAGCAGCAAGTTCTTATAGAAGTGTGTCTGGAAAAGGCCACTGTCCAAATTGTGTAAGCAATTGTACAAAGTGGTTAAGCTTCCCAAAACAGGGACTTGATGATCCCCATAGTGTTTTTTCAAGACTTGAACAATAGTTCCCAAAGGAAGTGCCAGGAAGCTCAACAGAACATCAGCGAAATCGCTATCGGCCTTGACATATAGAACCTTATTTTATGCTTATTTATCATGGCTTTCAAGCTGAACCTGAAGTTCTTGGGGTCAGACATTGTGTAGGCAGGTTATTGTGCAATTGAACAAGGAAAAAGAAGGATAGATGAGTAGCAATGTCAAGATTGTGTAGTTGGTCTATACGAGGAGAAAAAATACCAAAAAACCATATGAGAAACCAATTTACAGCACTGTTTCTATGGCTTTTTGACATATTTTTTCCTCTCGTATAGACCGAAACACATTTTTGAGGACAACAAACAGAGGACTCCAATTCAAATTCAGGTTGGGGCCTTCACTTGACTTGGCACCACAATATGATGACAATTTAGAGCACAATAACTAAAGAACAAACACAAGTTATCAAGAAAATATACAGCAGGATACCATTAAAAAATACCATTGAACACAAGTTAATCAGGGCAAGCACAATATATTGTTTGTAAGAAAACAATAATCAGAAATTCAACATTCAAATAACATCATATCACATTTCATGTAATAATCACACTTCATAAGCTATTCTAATTTCCATATAAATAGAAGCATCGAAGTATTTTAAGGGGAACTAATAATAGATGATGATAATCAATCCAGGAACAAGAGAAGATAAAAAAATAGAGATCGATTGATTGAGAGAGGAGAGAGCGCGGCGGTTTTTGTAGATAATAAAATGGTGTGTTTTAGGGTTTACACAATGCTATTTATACTTGTACAAGATGAGCTAAAGTCCCCCTAAAAAAAAGGGTTAACTGATAAATAAACCTTAACTGTTTGACAATTTTATCTTAATTTTTGGGTAATTGTAATAAAATCTCGACTTCAATTTATTTATTGCAAATTTGAGTGCATAGTGATTGATTTTAGCGATTTGTGGATCGATTTTGTGCTCAAGTCTTCTATTGACACGGGCTTTTATGCCATCCACGTAGCAAGTTGACAATTTTCACGTATTTAATGTATATCCACGCACAAATTCAAAAATTCCACGTCAATGTAAGCTACCGGTGATGAGTCTCCTCCTAGATCTAAAGTGAACCGGTAAATATGAGCTCCGACATTCTCGAACCGCCTTCAAATCGACCAGTTTTTTGAAGTCCAATCGGTTTTAGGTTCGACTTGCAATAAGTAAATTGAGGTCGAGATTATATTACAATTACCCAAAGATTGAGATAAATTGCCAAACGCAAAGAGACTAAAGTTTATTTAGCAATTAACCCTAAAAAAAAAACTACCACTAATACAAAACCGACATAAAAACATGCTCTCTCTCTATATATATACAGTGAACAAACATTTCCTCATATATAAATAGAAACATTGAAGTATTTTAATGGGAACACAAGAGTTTCGACTACCAACATAAAATTTTTCATTCAACATTCTCAAAATTGTGGTTGAATCACTCGCTTCAACCATTTTTCTTCCCAAATAAAAATGAACCCTTTAGCCATATTGAAGGAATCAGATTCATCATCTCCCATGTTCAATTACTGCACATATCAGACAAATGAGCAAGAAAATCAATGTTTTTAGTTCATTTTACTTTTATTTTACAGTAAGGTAAATGTCCCACTTTTATGTTGTAGTAAAGTAATTTCTCATTGCAATCAAATTGAAAACAGTAACAAGTATCAACAATTGCACAGAGAGAGTCACATATATTGTGTCTTTCACATGCTTCTCTTACATTTTCATTTTGTACAATTTCTTGGAGAATTAGGTGTATGCATTCATGCCCCCTACAGAGATTGTCACTTTCCGCTCTTTGGAACCTTTTTTGTTTTTTCTTTTTACTTTATGTGGAGAGATGTAAGAAAACAAGAGTAGGCTCAAACCGGCTGATTTATTGTCGAGCTCGTTTATTAATATTGACGAGGCGAATTAAGATACAAGTCTATGAGCAATTACATAAAACTTCTATTTTTGCGTATTAACGAGCCGGTTAAACGAGCAAGATTGAGCTGAGCACGAACTTTAACAAGCTAAACTTAGCTTATGACCGGCAAGACACATGCCGGTCGATTGGTATAAGATTTTTCCCAAAAAAAAAAAAAAGAAAAAAATTGTCTCACTTGAAAAAATGAGGTAAAAGAATAACTTTAGAATAAAAGTGAGTCAAAATTGAGATTGTGAATAGATGTGATATAATAATGATTATTTTTCAAATTGTGTTCACGACGAAAAAACAGTGTGAGGTGAAATGAATAATATTTTTTGTGAAATATTCCTTTATATATAATTCGCGAATGTGTTGAGCTTAAGCGGCAAACTCACATTCTTGAGGGATCTTATGTGATAAATTTTCATGCTTTGTCATTTGGCTGGGATGAATTTTAATTACTGTCAACCAAAAAATAATTAGATTTGAAATAGCCATAAATATACTAGATATTTATGGTCCTTTTTAAATGTACCAATTATGTTATATTCCTATTATAGATATGATATATAAGGCATAATTTTTTTCTTCTATATTTCTTTTAAAATTATGAAGAAAAAAAACAAACTTAAATTATAAATAGATTTAAAAGTTAATAATTTTTTTTATTTTTTTTATCAATTTTTAATACATAATATATGAAATTACCCATGTCTTGATGAGCGTCGATTTGACACATATATTGTACATACAAATAAATAAATAATTATATTTAGATTAAAATAAAAATATGTTACCTATTAATAATAATTAAAAAATAAAATTATTTTAATCGATTTAACTACAAAGATGTTAAATTATATAATTCAAAAAATTACTATAATTTAAGATGATAAGCCGTATAAGTGATGTGTATTATTATAAAAATAAACAGTAATAAAGATATTCAAATAATTAAAAAATAAAATATTTTAATCGATTTAACTACAAAGATGTTAAATTATATAATTCAAAAAATTACTATAATCTAAGATGATAAGCCATATAAGTGATGTGTATTATTATAAAAATAAACAGTAATAAAGATATTCAAATAAGTATTTAAAAATTAAAGTTATTTTTTATTAGTATTTTTAATTTTAAATATTAATTTTTTTAATTATTTACTTAATTATTTTCTTTTAAATAATATTTTATTTTAATTATTTATTTTAAATAATATTTTAATATAAACTTAAAATCTCACTAACAACTAATTATACAATCTTTTTCAAAATTAACTAAAGTTAACCAAAAAAAAAAAAAACTTGTTTTGACTCATATACATATATATATACCTTGAGTAATAATACCCACCTTTTTTTTTTTTTTTT